GTATATACCTTAAACATGGCGAATCCAATGTCCAAAACGTCAACGATCCCAGCATCTTTGGTTTCTTGCATCAAGGAAACCACAACTGTGCACTCCTGGTAAACCTTGTGGGCGTCTGAAGAGTCTGACGTTTGGATTCGAGAAAAATGGGGTTTTTTTTTTAATATAAATTCAAGCGCATATAAACGCGAAAAAAACAGAGAAAAAAATCATGGTGAAATTCAGAAGATTAGCGTGCGAGAATAAAAGAGTCTCACTTTTCGGTCGATGACACAAAAGCATGTACTGCGGATTTGTTGCAAATTTCTCAAAGTTTGCCATTGTTCCGCCCGCATTCAAGCCGTACTTCCAGTTCCCGTAGATCAGTTTAACCTGAAATAATTTTTTGAAGGGAATTCAAAATCTCTAAAGAATGTCATACACATCAAGAATTAAATCATGATTGAATCATTCGCTGTATTCACCCTATGATGGGCCACATTTTTCTACTTGAGTGGCCTATGAGAAAAAAAAATTGGGTTTGGCCTATAAATCTATAATCCTGGAATAATTTATCTCAGCTTGTTCCTCAATTGAAGTTCAAATTGAAATGGTAAAACCCAAAGCATTGTTTGGGTGCCATTAGAAAAGCTCTCTACTCTTCTTATGCCCAGAATTCCATACTGATAGAAATGACCTTGAGAAAGATTTACAAGTATTGGAATTCAATGAAGAGACCCTTTTCTGAAATCGTAGAGGATCAAGATAAACTAACTGTTGGCCTTACATGATTTCCCATCAAAGATTCTCTCTAAATTGTTCACTCAATTAAACCTTATCTGGGAACAGGCTGAAGACCTTGCGCTTTAAATTGGGTTTAGTGAATGCTGCAATTGCTATCATTCTGGCTTATTCCTGCAATTCTTGTTACTGATGTTTTGTATTTCAATGTCAGGGAAAGAAGGGGTGTACGCATACACATCAGTTGTGCAGTTGTACATTGTCAAATGTATTTTCTTTTATTTTGGTATCCATATACGGCTTTTTTCTCTGTTTCCCATTCTGAAGTGATTGAATGGATTTGGGTTGGGTGGGGAAGGGGTTTGGATGTGGGAATGTTGATTGAACTTTGTGAATGCTGAAAAGGAGAAAGTAAAGCTTCCTGTTCATTCATTCATTTGTTGGGTGACAAACTCTTTATTTTTATTACAAAGCAAGATGATATTTATAATCAAATCCAAAGTCATTTATGAAAATTCCACAACCGAAATTACATAATTTTATTCTATTTATGTTTCTATACTACAAAATTCAAATGTTTTGAGGCATTCACATTTTTTTGCAGAATTCATGCCAAACATAAGAATGTGGCCTATACTAGCTTTTTTTCAACTGTGTCCAGGAAGTGTGGCCTATATTGGAGATAATATGAATAGACGAAAAAATGTGCAGGGAAAGACAAAGAAAAATTATATACAGTATTCGGAAAGAAATTGAGTTATGAAATTATGCTTACTAAAAGTTTGGCGCAGAAAAAGAAGACCTCTGGGTGATTTTTTTCTGCGCTTGTAAAATAATTTATTGGCATTTTGGCGGATTTGCTGCTTCAGCATGGCATGCTTTTTTTTCGACTGGCCTATGTAATCAAATAAAAAAAAACATTTCCTGGCGTGTAAGATTTAAAAAACCAGTTTTCTACTACATGCAAGAATTGTCTATAGGAATTTTGCAAAATTTTCGCGGACGTCACCACGGGGTTTCTTCGTCATGAATTATAGGGTATGATGAAATGCAATTTTACGGCTTTGTGATTGCTGGTGCCGAAAACCGCGTTTTCATTGTCCGGCATTCCGCCGAAATCGTTGCCCATGGTGCAAATAGTCGCCACTTCGAATTCCCTGCAAAAATCGTTGAAGTCCATCCAAAATTCCCCGTCCAGTTTCTGCTCTTCCAGCAAACGCTGTCTTGCAGGCAGTGTCACGATGTTCCAATGCCTTTTATCTCTGAAATTCGACCATCAGGAAAGCCTTTCAATTAAACCGTTAGTAATTTACATTTTTCCATCTCTGAAATTCGACCATCAGGAAAGCCTTTTAATTAAAGCATAAGTAATTTAATTGTTTTTCTGTGCTATTTTTTATAAAAACCCCAAATCTGTCCGAAATCCTTAAGCTATGCTTTTATATCATAGATGTCGCGTCTATTTTGGTAATTTTTCGTCTTTTAGTCTTATGCTTGAGTGATAGAAGAAACTTTTACCATACCTTCAATTTTTGAGTAGTAAAATTGAAATAACCCAATACTGTATTTATTTTACTTCTCAAATTTTTTTGAGTTTTAACTGTAGCTCATTGGTTGACTTAGAATTAGATCAGTTGTGAAGTTTCCTTCATTCTAGGAAGAAATTGAAAGAAAATATTACCGAAAGTTTAAAATTGTGATGTAATTACCGTATAATTACTGATGAAGCTTTTTAAAAAAAGGTACAGTACTACATATCAAATGTGGACAATTGAATGATTTATTTTTAGAGAAGAAAGATGCAGGTGTAATTCAACAATAAAATATTTGTTTCAATTATCTGAAAAGTATGCGTTATTGTAGATTTAAATATGCTTTTAAATTGCAGTTT